TGCATCTGTCGAGGTTCTGCGTGATGTTTCAGCGCTCGTTTAAAGAGGTGGTATTATGGTCCTTTATGACCAATTAGTATAAATAGTGAGTGTATCACATCTGTGACATTTTAATTACCTAACTTGTTTAGATTTCTTGAAATTCATCTTTATAAACAGCCCAGATTCCCCTCTGTCCTCCAGCAGCTGTTTCTGAAGTAATTAGCATAAAAGTAGTATTAGCACTTACTCTGATTGGCTGGAGGCGATGCCTCATGTTCACCCCCAGCCAATTAGAATAGGTGTCATATAATGAATCCGGACCTCAAGTCTGAGGCACTTCTTGTGATTTAGTTTTTCAGGAAAGATTCATTCAAGCACTCTAGTTGAATGGGACCTGGATTGAGTCCTGTTGCATAACAGTTTCTTTACCTCTCCACTTTTCTTCAGCTGTTAAAGGGAGCTAGGGATGATTATGCAACACACACATACACAAACTGCATATGTACTGATGCACACAGACATTTAAAATGATGTATTATTATAACTGATTTCTCACAAACACATCAATTTTTTTTTTTAAATGCACAGAAAACATCCATAAATGTGGCTTAGCGAGTGAGTTCTGGATGGCTGGAGTACAATGACCTCTTTTGAGGAACTGAATCCTCAGCGGCGGCCAGGGCTGTGCTTTGTTGTGATTTAGAGAACAATTAGAGAGAGAAAGGGAAAGAATGAGTCATGGTGACTCTGGCGGGGGGGGGGGGGGGGTTTCCTGGGTGAAAAGCAGCTCTTTGTAGATAATGAAACAGAAATAATAGGAAAAAGGTTTCACTCATGGTTTGCTTCACTGTTACATAACGCACACATGCAAAGACAAAAAAAACATACACCCTCATGAAACGCAGGCACAGACGAGCACTAATATCACATTCAGACATTGTGAGTACAACTGAGTTTAAGGTTACCACAAAAAATGCTTCCAGTTAATATTGCCTTGAGTTTGGTCCAACGGCGATGAGCACATTAAATGCACTGACAACATAAAGAAACAAAGCCATCATCTGTGGCAGCAGCAGGGCTGAAAAAAGCCTGACCAATCATTAACCTAACCTGAGAAAAACCACTGGATGCTCTACCTGCCTGTCAATCTCACCACCTACTTGCACTCACTCTGCCCTTGCACTCGTTGCATGAGCCAAGAGTCTCCCACAAGGCCTTGCAGTTGCAGGCAGACATGTCACTGCTCTGTTTTTACAGCTAAAGGCAGCGAGCTATGGCAGAGAAGGTACCCACAGCAGCTTTCGGTCGCAAACGGAGACCGTATTTGAGAAAGTTACAACTAAAAATACATTGGATGCTACAACAAATCAATAAATGGTGCCTGGCAGGATAACCAACCAGATATACAGAGGATGTAGAGTGCTGTAAGGATAAAGGACAGAATTAAATGAAAAAAGAATACACTGTAATCAAAATAAGATAACCAACCATTTTGATGACAACAAAATAAGTGTCTGTTCATGTTCTGTTACTTAGACTCCGGTAAAGTCGAGGGTTGATGATTTAGGACTGTTTTATGGCTAATGATGCTGTCTATGGTGCTAAAAACAGATGTAAACCAGCTCTGCTCAGCTCTTTCCTGTTCACTTTCCTTCATCTGTCTCCCATCTGTTCGTCGCTTTCTTCCATTCCCCTGTCACTCTCTCCATTTACATTCTATTAGCCTTTACTCTTCCCATCTTTTATTCCCATTTTTGTGACGTATTATTAACCGTATTAACACAGATTGCACAAATCTGGCTATTATTATACCGAGTGCTATGACCTTTGTCAGTAATGAACGTTCCTTATGCTGCACTAATCAGTATTTTTGTATTAACAATGGATCAAATGACTGTGGAGTGTGTAGGACATCTCTCCTCATCTTTCAGGGCTCATAATGGTTCCATTTTGGTTCAGTCTCACTGTCATTTTGCACTCATTATCCCTGCTTTCGGCCACAGCAGACAGCTGTTCTTTAGCTAGAAAACCCTGTACACGGCTCTAACAACCAAACACCAGACAGACAACATTAGCAACTTGCTGGGGAACACAGTGGTGCATTTGGTTGCTAAAGAGCCAGATATTTTCTCAGAAAATGACAAATACGTGCAGCCATTTTAGTCACTTTTCTTTTCCACTCTGTGCTCAGTGTGGCCTCCCCCATATCTCTCCACTGAGACAGATAAAAGCACAGACCATCCCATGTTTAGGACCAATCCAGCGTGTCTGTATCATGTCCCCTCTGTTTATTCCTAGGATAGTATATGTGTGTGTAGATGTATAGTGTCCACTGCATTGTGTAAAGTGCTTAGCACACAGGCAGACAGAGTTCAATGCCTGCAACGTGTGAACGAAAGGCAGAAAATAATGGTGTTGTTCAGGGATAGGTCCTCATTTACCCTGCAAATAGAGGGCAGTGATTTTGTGATTGCGCACCATACATAGTGGCAAAATGTCATCATCATGTTATTTAACGGAACAGTTGGACTCTTAGGAAACAAGTTTGACTTTTAAACACCAAGAATAATCTGTGTAAAACCAAACACTGCCATTTTTACACGTCAGTTTTTCTATAGATTATACAAACCAAATATACCAGAGCTTTAGAGGTGTGTTGCAGATTTTGTTACCTCTGGGAAGAGCCAGTTAACTGCTCCCCCCAGTTTATACTAAACTAAGTCAACCAGTATACCAGTATATAATTACAATAAAGGAGTTGCTACAAATTGTAGTTTTCACACTTTGCAGATCATATATAATTTTGTTTTTTTGTTTTAATAATATAATATATACACCGGCCAGCATGCTGACCAGTCTCCCTATCATCTGGTGCACTCCTTTATTGGTACATCCTCAGGAAAGAAAATGTGGCAAGTCAAAAGCTATTGATCCAACGTGTGTTATAAAGTAAACTTCTCCTTCATGGCCTCCTCTGACCTTCCCTGGCCTGTTAGTCCTAGTTTGTTCCTTTCCTCCCTGTCTCTCCTACAGTTACTGTGCATGAAACCGTGTGACAGATATGCTACTTGGCTGTTTGCCCAGTTACAGTCCCATAAGCACACTCATGTCAGTCTGTGTAGCTTCTAAGACTTGTTTATGCATTAAACAACACGGGACTCTCTTTCTCTCTCCCTCCTTTCTTCCTCTTTCCTGTGTGATGGTAGTCATGTCAGAGTAAGGCTGGCTGAAGCCCTTGCAGCAATCAGCCTCTTTGAAGTTGAGCCCTCCTGAATTAGGCCATCACCCAGCAGTGCTCTGCTGCCAACACACACACACATCCTTACACCCTACACCCTCCGTACATAGAATAATATTCATTTCCAGAAGACTTACCCAAACTGGGCTTTTCACACCCGTCAGAACACAAGTTTCTGTCAAACATAACTTTCATCCACTGGATAGAAAAGAGGAATCATGAAAGTTTGAGACACTTAGTGGTTTTTGTTTGACAAAATCAACAAAATCACCTTTTACTGTCTCTTTCTTCCTTTCTGTTCTCACCTGATCCAACACTTGCAAATAACATTCGAATGTCGTGCGCTCAAAGTGTGGTTGTTAAGTATTAGAGCATCTACGGGCAACTTTTAATATGTTTTTGTTTGGGTGGCTGAATGACATTACGCACCTTTACATTTCTATTCTGGAAGTACATGAGTGAGAGGGGCGAGCAGCTGGTACCAGGGCTTCACTTAAGACAATAACAAGTCCCGTGTTACACACGCATGGAGCTACACTTGCATGAAATTACAACACACGGTTGTGCCTCCGTGCACCCTGCGCCGCACACAGCGTGTCATCGCTGCATATCAATTACATGGGGAGGTGAAGATCTATTTCTAATCCAATCAGCCAGCACTGGTGTCACATCTCTCGCTCCCTGGCTTTCTCCCTGCCTCGCCCACTCTCTCCACCTCGCTCTCCTATTTGCCCCTTGCCTGATTCTCACTGAAGCGTCTCAGTCATCATGGGGCTGGTGCATGTGGGCGTTGGGTTGGCGTGTTTGATTATGCCTGTGTGTGTGTACTTGTATTCCCCTGTGGGAACAGTTTAAGTCTTAGACTTTCAGAGTGAGGTCATCCTGGCCTGACCTTGTTTCTTCTGAGCTTGGAGGGTTTTAAAAGTTAAGATGATATTTGGAACATTTCAGAACACAACACTGGTGGCTCATTCTTTAATGAACTGTTGTCCCATGTTTCTGGAACAAGATAATGCCACAAACACCAGTTTGTAGCTTCTGATTGTTTGATTGTTTAAAAATGTAGACTTCATTTTATTTACACTTTTATGCAAAAATGTCACCACTGACATTTACTAAACCTGCGGTATCAATCTGTCAAGCAGCTGCCTTTTTAAACATCCAGCAGTCATGGAGCAACATTAGATGAAGCAACTAGTTGTTTTTAACTCTTTTATGACCTTCAAGTAAAGACTGGGCTCGGCAGCCGCAAAATGTTCCACAGTTTTCTCACTTTGTCTAACTTTGTTCACGGCATTGAAACTGAGGAGTCAAGTTGGAAAACCAGAACAATGAGCTCAAAGATGCTAACGCTCCGTAGAGTTGAAGGGAACTGTAGGCTCAGGTGATAATTACTGTGCCTTTGTGGGTTTTGTCATTGCCCTCAGCAAAGGTAACGTACACTTCTGTGACGGCTCCATTAATGCTGAAAAATACGGAGTTTTAGGAGCAATATACAGTACGATGCCTTCAAGATGACGTTTTTCCTTTAACTGAAGTCTCACAAAATGAATAAAACAAATGTCAGAATCGGTCCATGAAGGCCCAGATGTACCAGAGTGACCGAGGAGGACACACTGGTGATCTTTACTGGTGTAATGTTGCAACTCCCTCTGGACTCTAATCTCACAACATGAGCTGATGGAAACATAGATTGACTTGTTTTGTTTCCATCTGGATTTCAGGTATTTGTTTCAAATTTGTTTCTGTTTGTGTGTGTGTGTTTGCATCTCTCTCCTAGGTCACAACCATTTGAACAATGCCACTTTGTCTCCCCTGGGTCCAGCCATGGCTTTGTCTCACCCTCATAACAACCTGGGAATCGGCTTCAACAAGTACACCACGCTTAAGGCTGTGGGTGAGTAGCGTCACACACAAGACACACACTCTCACCAACTGGCTACACAATGACATTCTCCTTTACGACCACATCTGCATGTTTGAATACATATTCACACATTATGCCTGATAATCCATAGTGAGTAAATGATGGATTAAAGTACTTGTGGACCGAATAGGACAGATACTGGACACAGGCCAGTGATGCCAAATATTGTACAGTATCAACAAACCTGAACTGGGATGATGGAAAAAACTATGTCCATATACCGATGCACAAGGGAGAGCAAGCACCCATAAGGTCTCACATCCAGCCATGCTGGATCATGATTCAGGTTTGAGTGCTGTGGCTGATTCCTAGTTTCCTCAACCTCCGTGTGGCCACATTACAGCAGCCTTGATGTAAATGCTATGACCAAGTTATGCTGCTCACAAGTTATGGCGGCTGTAGCTCAGGAGGCCAAGCAGGTCGTCTCCTAACCGGAAGATTAGAGGTTTGATTCCTGGCTTGTCCAGTCCACATGGCGAAGTGTCCTTGAGCAAGACACTGATCCCCCAGTTGCTCCCGATGATGTCACCAGTGAGTGAATGTGGGAGAATGAATGGCCAAACACTGTGAAGTGAATATGGGAGAATGAATGGCCAAACACTGTGAAAGCACTTTGAGTGTGCTGCAATGCATAGGAGTATGAGGGAGAAGCTGTTAGCAGAGCATTCGTTTGTGAAATGAGCAGCAGCATAAATACAAGATTGGAAACCTTTTAAGAAGTTGGCCTACAGTATTATACACACTGAAAAGGAAAAACCTGTGCCAGGTGGAGAAGCAGCTAGCATTCTGGGCAAGCAGTTCTGATGTATCTGTCTTAATGAAAGAATTGAAATAAGGAGAGGCGGGCTAGCAGTGAGAAAATGGGATAAAGATGCTGAAAAGGACAGAGAGAAAGCCAGAGGACAGAATGAGCGAACAGACTGTCAGAGCAGGAGGAAATAACCCTAGAGAATGTAGCAACAAAGACAGACTCATGAATTGTTCACTTTTGTTTTTGTCTATTAAAACCGGGATGTTCTGAGTGTGATGGACAGTTAGACTCAGCACTAGGACTCCACATTCTGGGCCAAGAGTCCTTGACATCTTTAATTAATGTCAGACATTCAAGAGCCCAAGCACAACTGGGGACACTATAGAAAGAGGAACATTGTTCTTTAGGATTAAATAAACAATATCTTAACAAACACTTGTTTGTGGGAATTATAACTACAGGTTTCCATACAGGAAGTTAAAAGTGATGAAACGGACAAAACACGCTGTCTGAAATGAAGTCTACATGATAAGCAACAGAAACTATCAGAGCATATAGATTATATATGAAACTCTTGTGTTTAAGCAGTTAGACATTAAAATGAGTTACTGTATACTGAGCAGGTTCTGTCAGGCCACTAACTGCTCAAATATCATTAAATGGCATTAAAAATAGACCAGACGGAATACAGTACGCTGTCAAACTCTGAAATCCTTCAGAAGTCTCAGTTTATGCAGTGGCCTAAATTGGGCCCCCAGGCCTCGCTTTGAGCTGCTGCAGAACAGACGGCAAAAGCTGTTGTTGTTAAAGAAAATGAAATAAAATACAAAGGAAAGCATGGAAAGCAAGCAAGAGGGAGCAGATGGAGAGGAAGGTGTGTACTGTAATACTGCCACAGAGGACTCTGCTGTCAGGTGCTTCTGCTGGCTAGATGTGTGGAAGCACTCAGACAGACAGCAGCAGCAGTTGTTAGTGGAAGGAAAAGTGTAATTAATTAATTGTTTCTGTGCCGTCCCAGATTTTCCAGTCCTGTCCAGAGATTTGAACCAGTTTAACTTCAAATTCTGCATCTCTAGCTTCAGCTGTGGGGTGTCGGACCAAGACAAGGGCTACAGCACCCACAATGAACAAATATGGTTCCTACAAAAACTTGTAAACAATTAAACTGCACAAAATGCATCTATGAACACTGAGATTCCTTAAATAAAATCATATATTTCAACTATGCCTAATCATAATGTATTGTACAATTAGCTAGAAGTCTAAACAAATGCTGAGTTAAGCTACGTTAGCTACACTAACACTATCACGTTCATAGCTTGAAGCACTAAAACCTCTGCACTAGAGCCACCAGATAAGACACTGAACATCACTATTTGTGGGCAGAGAAGCTCCCCTCACTCTGTACTTTCTCTGTTTGACAGCTGCCATTTTGGATAAGACCTGATGCTAATCCCAGAATGCAATGTGCTGTTTACTCCCTGACATCACTGTGAAACAGGGCAAGAAAAATAACTGTATTTATTATTTGCTGATACAAAACTAACCATAAATAATAAAAATAACTGTATTTAATTACTGAATTTAAATGCACTTAATGGCTATTGCTGATACAAAACTAACCATAAATAATCAAAAATGACTGCATGAAAATCTTGAGAATTAAAACTTCAAAGACCTCAGCAGTATGCTGTGGCAGGATGCAGATTTATGGGATGCAAAATCAATTTCACTTTAGCTGAAATCAGCTGCTGTCTTCCACCATGTTTTTTGATTAGTTTTTAGATCTGTGTAGGTCCTCTACTGTACCTGTGATTTGTTTCATTAACAAAACCAGTTGCTCTAGACAGGACTCCGAGAGCGCAGACCTCAAGGCAGCTCAGCTTCCCCATAATGTCATTCCACATAAAAGCAGTATGATTCCTGGACCATGAAAACCTTCCCCTAGCATTTGGAATCACATTAATATCTTTATTAGTTTGAAAGTTATTCAAGAAAAATGATATTTCACAAATGGCGGTTTTCTTTTGAAGATACACCAGATCTGTTCGCCCCTGCTGAGTCAGCAGACTTTTAACTAGAATTTGATCGTAGTCGCAGTCTGTAGCATTATGTCTTGTTTCACAGGAGCCTGTTTTCCATGAGCCTGATAAATCTTTACACTGATGATCAGCAGATCTGGAATATTACAACTTTGGTGTGTGCTGCTTATGCATGGTGTGCCGCACCGTAACCATTCCACGGTTGTGGCGCCTCCAGTGTGAGGTAGATCGAATGTGGATGTTACCTTGCAATTTTTGTCTAAGCGTACTAGGCATTGTGTGTGAAGTTAGAAGAAACAATATTGAAATTGGCCGCATCTAACATCTTTTAAACGACTCCTGGATCCAGACGATGATCCAGATCAGTACCAGAATCTAATTATATTGTTCCATAAACCAGCTCATCCAAATCTATTCATTACTTTTTGAGTTATGCTGTGAACAAACCAACAAATGCCAGAAACTATTAAACTGTTAATCACGCTATATTTAGGTTGTTTTGCTATGTTTTGAGAAACGAGAGCCTCTGAGATTAACAGTTAAAACAGCTGTGGTGACAGTAAAGCGGGACTGGATTTAAATCCCTGGACCAGCTCCAACCGTTTTACTGAGATAGTGAATGATGAGCGGTAACTCCGTCTTTTTTCTCAGCAGAAGTGCCCTGGAGTAACGCAATGGAGACACATTTGAAGTGTTCAATAAGCAATTACCAGACTGTGATAGCACTGGACGGTTTCCTGTCATGTGTGAATGTGAGACAACTTCATCCAGTGTTTCCTGCAAATACATATATACTGAGAAGGTTCCCACACTCATCTCATCTAGTATAAATGATTAGAAATGAATAAAGAGGGCATATGGAGGTTTTGTTATATCCCAATCTCATGAACGGATATATCAGGAACGCCTTGAGGGGATTTCTTCAATTTAAACACACTTTTATTAAATTCCTTCAAAATCTTCACTACATATATTTTACAAGTCTGGACAGATGTACATGTGAACTGCAGCTTGACTGGTTGTTTTGTGAGTTAATGTTTCAGAGGAGAATACTCTCCATCCCACATGCACCCAAACCAAGACATGCATATATAAATAGCCAGTCAGGAGCCAGTCACACTCATTACAACAAGTTAAACTCAACCAGTCATGCATCTTCTGACCAGTCTAGTGACATAATCATATTATTATTTTCCTGTATGGAATGTAGTGATGGGCACACATCCACTGTCTTAACAACACAATACAGGCTGATAGCGGCTGGGTCCCGTTGTCCGAAAACACCAAGTCTCAAGCTCTTATTTCTCTCCAAAAACAAGGTTGTTAGTGTCTGTAGGCTGAGTGTGCATGAGGCGGGGGTGGGGGTGCAGCGGTTGTGAGCAAACAGCAGAGTCAAGTTCCACTCTGGGGGCTTGCACCAAATATGACATGAGGCGCTGAACTTGCTCTATTTTTATTCCCACTAATCTCCCATTTTGCCCAACACCCAGACTCACTGCTTATCCCTTGTCTGGCTTGTTTTCTCTCTTGTGCTGTTGGAACTTTTAATTCTGTGGTCAGTGCACAGACAGTTCAGAGCTTGGTTAAATAAATATGATGCAGACACTCGCATCCCCGTGGGCACACACACAAAGTACACCTAGCAGGATTCTTCTGCTTTGCCTTGATCGGTTTTACTTACTTACCTGTGTGACTTTAATCAGGTGAGATGATATCAGATGACATCAGGGCTGGAATGTCTTCATTTGATCATTACACACACACTTCAGCATGTTTTTAAAGCATGGCCAACAATGAAACTTCAAAATGTCCCCTGTTGGTGAGTGTGGATTTTGATAAAGAAGTCTATTGTTGGCTAGGTAAGAACTGCACACACACACACAATGACTGACTACTTTGTTAACCAGCTGTAATTTAACCATGTCTCTGTCTGTCTGTGTTTCCCTCTTTCTCTTGCCTTTCTGCCCCCATCCATGATCTAGACACAACTCCAAGAGACTACTACAAGAGCTACCCGATGGTAGATTACACCCATCGCCAATCGCCTCCCACTTTCCAGCCAATCAACTTCCACCCCAAGGACAAGCCCTTTCTTCCGCCGCCCGATATCCATGCACCACTGGCCATCACCATCAACGCCCCCCAGATGCCCAAGCCTAAGATCTCCAAGACCAACACCCACCCACTCACCTCCAGCTCAGCCTTCAAAGCATGGGACCCCAGTAAGAGCCATGTCCAGCACCCTGCAGTCTCCCACATGGGCCTCCAGGGGCAGCAGCTCCACCCCATCCAGCAGCAGCAGCATCAGCCGCTGCACCAGCAGAACAGCCGGCGCCAGGCCTACTCCAACAAGAGGCAGTTCAGCATCGAGACGCTGCCCGAGCTCTTCTCACAGCCGCTGGGCTACGGCCACTCACCACACATGCACCCAAAGCACAAGGGACTGCACACCAACAGCAAGACAGAGGTCACAGTCTGAACATGGGGGTGAACAGACAGAAGAAGAGACAAAAGAACAAGTGGAGGTGTAAGAGAAACACTCATATCTTTTATATCCACAGCCATGTGGGTGAGAGACAAATATCTGGAATTTTCAGCATTTTCTTCATCATTGTTGACAATAATAATGTGCGTGATGTTCATATAATTTGAAGCTCAATGGATCAACGCAGCAGTAGGACAGGCTGTGAAGGTGGTGGGCTGGCAGGTGGCGGCTGTGACTTTTTGAACCAGGCTACTCTTCTAAATAATTGAGTGGCCTCTAGGTTTGCTGGCACAGCTCTCTCCTCTTCCTCTCAACCCCTTGCACCTCTGTGACACTCTGCACTGCTTCGTAGCACCACTCCACCACACACAAAGGTTCTGATCCCACATAAAAGACACAATTCCCTCCACAAATGAGCCCAGATTCTGAGACTGTCAGGGCAGCTGGTAGGGGAGTGTTTCACCTTAGACTTTGGTTTCTCATCAGCACAGACAGTGCCAATGTGTTAGCTCTCGTTGCCGTCCAACCCTCTGGAGATGTCAGCCTGGCAATTCATATCAGGCAGGAGGGTGGGGTGAGCTGGGAGGGGCAAGATTATTCATCTCGTTCCAGGTTCAAATGAGTCGAGAAGGATCTGAAGTATTTGCACACATTCATGCACAATACACACGTGTCAAAAACTACAGAATGTTCCTGGCAGTATCAGAGACCCCCACCCCCCGACACACACACACACACACACACACACACACACAAATCGCCAGAAACTGGAGAGATGAATAAGCAGCAGCCTTGGTGATGTTTCTGAGGGTATGTTGAGCAGTTAATTCCAGTGACTGTCTTTTGAGTGGCTGGAGATGTTTACCTCTAAAGAAACCCCAGGATGTGTCTAAGGAAGGGCAAAAGACTCCACGTGTCTACAAAGGTCACAGCAAAGTCACCGCGTTCTCTCGTCCTCTCAGCTCCACACCATTTATCCAGTGAGACTGTGTGTGTCACAGGAATATCAGCCACTGGTGCATGTTGGAGAAATCAAACTCAGCATCACACACAACCTGTAGGAGGCTCTTGCTGCTCTCCCTAATAGACGTTGCTGTACAGGAGTCCTTTGTTGGTCTTTGGTTCTTGTTACCATGCTAACTCTGAGAGATGAGACAGTCCAAGTAACTTCAAAACAGTGCTGATTTATTCAAAGGATCACAGGTAAAATTAACATTACACGCTCAGGTATCTTGCACCTCCATCCTGCACACAGGCAGATGTAAGATGAAAGACCCTGAACCCACCAGGCCTATACATTATATCCCCTCGGTTGGGCTAGCCCCATACTACACAGAAACGTCAACCGAGACGTCTCTGTTACCAGCTTTGCAGCTGGTCATAGCAGTAGTCAAAACATGAAGCAAATCAACGTGTGAATGTGTGTGTCTGTTTTTAGCTACACACCACTTAATCAACATTCTCACAACCTCTAGTACATGTTGTGACTTAAACATAAGAACATATTATGGCTAAGGCTACAGTTATACACGTCGTAATAATAATAATATTAAACATCCTGTCTGCTGACAGTCATCAACTCTTCTCTCTAGTTATCCTTGACCAGATGTACCCTGTAGAAACTCATAAGCATGACTAAGCATTTAACAGTCTAACTAGACATCCTATCTCCACTAAACATTTCTAATACATAAAGTATCTATCCAATTTCTATCTGACTAAAAATACCTAACACCTTGGTTCTCAATAGACAGAGGTGGAAAGTACAAATTCAGCATGACCAGTAGAGAGTGTGAAGGTATATCACGCCATGTTGAATGTTGGGACAGGGGTACAATTTTTGGAGATAGGCACTGTGTTTACCTGCATACGTTGTTGTTTTGTTTGGCTAAAAAGTTGCTTAAATCATTTAGCTCTCACTTTACTGACTATGGTAATTCAGATCGGATAGCCTTAGTTGACTGTATCTAACTCATAGCGAACTTAGATCCCGTCTACAAGAACAGACTGAAAAATGACTCTCCAACCTGATTTCAGCTAACGCTAGCTAGCATCTGGTGGCAGGTAACACAAACACAATCAATTTCCATCCTGTATCTGCTCAAACTGAATTGTAAAGTGGACATTTGGACGTGGCTGAAGCATCCACTATTATGTATGTAGCTGTATGGGGTAGTATTTATTATTTTAATTAACTTAGAGATGTATGTAGTGTATATCTCTATAACTGATAATGAGCATGATGCTCCAAACATGGTGCATTTACTCAAAATTCAATGAGGCATCAGCTTCCCATTCTCTATAGAATCACAAATCCCAGGATGAATTATATCTGAATTTTTCCTTAAAGATGGAGATGGGCTGAATAACAAAAGTAATTTACTGGTTATTTTTGCTATTATTGCTGTAGTAATGACTTTTTCAGTGATACTTGTGCAGCATTATTTTGCTGATGGCCTCCCTCTACAAATGTAATATTACTTTCAGCCTATTCAAATCCCTTAGCTCCACACCACATAGTCTCACCTCCACCGTACAACACATTCCAACAGCCGGCCTGACTCCGTGATTGAAATCTTTATTTGTTATCACGGGGACACCAGCTCCGCTGCAGTGCATATGCTGGCACATGGTATAGCACATCAGACAGGTGGTGGAAGCTAATCAAACAGCAGCACTCGCCAGAGTCCTACACTGTTTACTGACTTTTCCACACTTTCTCTCTGTGTCACTGTTTGTCTTTCTCACTTGCTGTTCCCTCCCAGGCATCCACACCTACACCTCAACCCCATACCCCCCAGCCTCTCTCTACGCATCTATGCCCACTGAGGGCTGAGTGATGGCTATACCAAACACTTGTCTGGCGTTTGGTAGCCAGTGCTGCAAGCTGTTGTAAACCATGATATTCTCACTTGGTCCTCTTAGCACCCGTGTGTGTGTGTGTGTGTGAGGGGGAGAGAAGTATAATTAATGACAGAGCCTGTCACAGCATGGCAGGCTCCAGATTTTCTTCCTAGTACACAAACCAGTGTCCACAAATGTAGGCTGGGGCACGAAGGAGCAGATGCTTCGCATTATATTATCTGCATGTGGAGATGCCTACATGCCACCTTAGAAGTGACTTTTATATTTATAAAGAAAAGATTTTAATCTTTGAATTCATTGTTTTTTGTTTTTTTGCAATAAGATGTCAGCCACATTCCCCAGTTTGCATCTCATGGAGCTGTGAATGTACACAAGCAAATAAAATGAGTGACCGAGTAAAACGTTATAAGAGAGAATAAATTAGCAATATAGTGCTTGTTTGTGATGCTGCAAAGGTTTTTTCACTTTACCTCTCTGAGATGTACATGACCTGCTAGGCAAGCTGTTGGAGCGCTGCTCAGAGCTGCTGGCAGGCTTTTGTCAAAAGGGATCAGCAGAGAATGAGGATCATGAACGCAGGAGCGTCACTGGGATATATAAGGTGTGAATGCATCAAACACATCTGCCCTCATGCTCTTGCCAGCGCTGCACAGTATGTAATGTACCATGCTGCAGACAGCTGCTTCTGCATTGCTCCCCTGTCTTTGAATGGTGTCACTTCATATGAAAAGCTTTCTGGCCCCCACCACAATCATTCTGTGGGCTCTGTCCTTAATCACTCAGAATGCATTAGAGGTTGAGAACAAATGAGGAATGACACCGAGTAAACAAGCAATATGTGTCAGTAAAGCAATAAGCACCCAATCATATCTGTCTGTCTGTCCGCCTTCCTCTGAGTTTAGTGGTGGGTGCAAATGAGGGTGTGGGTATTAAAACCAAGGGGGAGACGAGCAGAAGAACAGGCTCTGCAGAGGGTTTGGGAGCAAAGGAAGGAGATGAGACAATAAAGGAAAACGAGTGTGTGGTTGCAGCTGATATGTAGTTTTTCATTCAGTTTGACTGGGTCGTCTAAAAACATTCATCCTGGGTTTTATCTGGCTGATGTTTTCAAAAAGCAGCTTTCTGTGACTGAAACAGGAAACTGCTGCTCCAGCATCAAAGTTATTGTTGTGGTTGGATCTTGGAGGAGCAGGACCCTTTCATAAAACACTGGCTGACGTCTGGGGTTGTAGTGGCAGTGCTAACACAAAGCACTGGAGATCAAACGCAGTGGAAACACTGGAACCAGGACTTACAGTTAAGGAGTGGAGTCTGCACTCCTTCAGGACCAGAAGGTCCTGAGGACACGTTACCAGCAAAGTCAAATAGATTGACAACTTCCTCTTAATATCCCTCACAGTAGCTGGTCAACAGAGGTTAAACGAGCACTGTGAATGGCTGATTCTTGAATATCCTTTTGCTTTTCGGGGATCTACATCAACAATCATGCTGATGAGCTGGAAAACAGTGACACCTCTTTGTGTTAATTTCCCTGTTGCCGGACATCCTGGATTTTTTCCTCCAGTGTGGAATGGACGTTTGTGGCTCCCTTCAGGCAAAGGACTGCCTGAAAGATAGGCATTAAAGTTGACTCAGACTGAAAAAGCCTTTAATGAACCACAGCTTTGCCTCTGTTGAAGATGATGTAAATACTTGAAGACATGGCACAAGCACACATGTGCATACACAGGAGCCACGGAAGTATAACACTAATGATACGGTCCATACAATGTCCACTGCTTTGTGGTGTGAAACAGGACCAAAAGCCTTGAATCAGGAGAAACACCGTCCACAGCAGTGACACAGGTTTGGATCATAATCTTAGATTGCATTTCCTCAGTCTCTCCTGATTAATAACGGACTACGGCGTCGTTCGCTCATCTCAGAGCTGACTGACTGTTGTTTGTAAAGCTTCCTATCAATAAAAAAACAATGCAAGTATTCTACAGCAGGTTATTTGAATGCAACCTGGTAGACATACTTGGGCTCCATGATCCATAGCAATATATAGATTATGGTGTGCAGTTTGATTGTTTCTTCTTCTCTGTTTTCTGTCACTTTGTTTTGTACTGTGTTTTTCAAGGCTTGAACAACAACAACAAAAGTTCATTTTACCAATGGAAAGTAAAAAGTGCTTCCAGATTTTGGACTCATGTCTGCGCACCCCTCAGCCGACCCCCGCCCCAGCACCGACCTCTCTTTACATCATATGTTTGAAGCTTGTGATCTTTTTCAGTTACACTGTGTGGTATACATGCACTCATGTATTTAACGTTAAAAGATGTTGCATCGTATCCACGTGCTTTGCCAACACTTCAGATGATTTCTTGTACAGCTTTTGCATCCTCAAAAAATTGGACAATAACATATTTCATGATAATTTGTAACAGGTAGCAGTAGGCTGCCTTGGATTGCTGTGTACTTCTTGTGTATATATGTATGCTGTACCACTTGTCTGCTGTGAAATTTGTTGACTTCTCAGCTTATACAAGGGCTTTTTATAAATATAAAAGCAGAGTGGGCTGATGTCACTCTCTGTAACTCCAGATAAATTTCTCTAGATGTTTTTTTAAATGTATGGAGGGTTATGACCAAAATTTTCATGCATACAAAATGCTATAGAAATAAAATTTTGACTGACTGACTGAAACGTCCATAGGCTCTTGTGCGACACTTATGTGTCCTGTTTGAATACAGCATTCATTGGTTAATCATACCTGTGTGTGCTGCATGTTTTTATTCAACAGTCACTTTGTCAGAGGTCCAGCTCACAGCATAAAATTGCCACGACATGTCTGGTAGCAGAAAATATTTCCAGGCATCAGAAGTGAACATTTTACAGACAGGAATCCATCAAAGGAAAAGCAGAGATACAAAAAAAAAAGCCTATTTCTTAAAAACAGCAAAGATCTGCTTCAAGTTTTCCTCAGACCTAGTCTGGCAGATCCCAAGCTTGTGTCCCTGAAGAATAAGCTCTCAGGTTTACTGGTAAGTGACATGTATCGTAAAATTTTCAGAAATTTCTCATCTTCTCTCATCACCAGTATTCAGCTTGTGTGAGGATAACAGCTTTGTCTTAGGGAGAGGATGCCCACCTGATGATCCGGTGGACCTTCACTCCTACACCCACACAGAACCTGTACTGGTATACTGGTATTGGTGGTAATATAGCTACTGACTCACTGGAATTCGTTTGTTAGACAGCCTTGGTAGAACGGTGTCAGTGGTTGGACAACTGAGTGGACCTGGCTCTCAGTGGTGACAGCCA